TGGCCCACCCTAGCTTTTACCACTCTATTGTCTTCATCTATGGACAATGCAAATATGCATATAAGTTCTTTGGTTAATCTCTTCCCACCCTGCTGCTCCCCTCTTCCCTCTGAGATTCATCAGTCTGTTCCATGTTTCTATGCCTCTGGTTCTATTTTATATTTTATTACTTTCTTTTATAAATCCTCACCTGAGGATATTTTTCCATTGATTTTTTTAGATAGAATGGGAGCAAGGGAGGGGGAGAGAGAGAAAAACATTGATGTGAGAGAGACACATTGATTTTTGCCTCCCGACAACCCCAACTGGGGTCAGGGATCGAACCTGCAACCGAGGTGCATGCCCTTGTCTGGGAATCAAACCTGCTACTCTTTGGTCCATGGGCCGATGCTTCTAACCACTAAGCCAAACTGGCCAGGGGTAGTTATGTTTTACTCGTCAGTTTATTTTGTTCATTATATTCCACATATAAGTGAGATCATGTGGTATTTGCCTTTCTCTGACTGGCTTATTTTGCTTAGCATAATCATCTCTTGGTCCCTCCATGCTGTCTCAAGGGGTAATAAATCCTTCTTTTTTATAGCTGCATAGTATTTTGTTGTTTAAATATTCCACATCTTTTTTATTTATTCTCATTTTTTAATTATTTTTTCTTTTTGATGTTCTGATTGCATGTTTTCTACCTTCTCTTCCATTTCTCTGATTCAATCCTCTGTTTCATCTAATCTGCTATTGATTCCTTCTAAAGTATTTTTCATTTCAAATTATTATCTTCTTATTTCTGACTGGTTCTTTTTATGTCTTCTATGTCCTTTTTTATGCTTACTATCTCTTTAATTTCTCACTGAGTTCATTCATTTTTTTCCTCTAAGTTACTTGAGCATCCATATAACTATTGTTTTGAAATCTGTATCTTGTAGATTGCTTATCTCCTCATTCAGTTCTTTGGGGTTTTTTTTTGGGGGGGGGGGGGGTTTGTTATGTTCTTTCATTTGGGGCATGTTTTTTGTCATCCCAATTTGATTGTTTTTCTGTCATTGTTTCTGTGTATTATGTAGATCTTCTATGTTTCCCAGTCTCGGCAGGGTGTGCATATGTAGTAGCTGTCCTGTGGGTCTGAATGGTGCAGTCTCTGATCACCTGGATTAGGTGCTTCAGGTTATGACCCTTTTGTAGGCTATGTGAGCCCTTCTGTTGTAGTTGAGTCTTGATTGCATTTAGCCTGTTTGTTGATGCATTTGACCCTCAGACTAGCTAACTATGAACATTGATTTTGACCACAGTGTATGAGCTCCTGTGCAGGGTTGATTCCATGAAGTGGAATTTGCCCCAGCAGCCTCTGATGCCTGCCCAGATCTCACTTTAGCTGTGTTGCTTGTGTAACAATTAGTTTGTGCTTTGATGTGGTCTGAAGCCCACCGTGAGGTGTGCAGGTTCTAGAATCTCTTAGGAGGGACCCTGATGCAGGTCAATGTCAGATGCTGCCTGTGACCAGCCCTGGGCTACCTTTTAGGACCTCTAACATGATCCACAATTTGTGACTGCCTCTGCCAGGCCTGTGTGTGCATGGGAGGGCCAAGCTGTGTACTAAGGTCAGCTTCCCCCACTACCAAGTTTGGAGGTAGGTCATCAGAAGGCCCAAGGTACCTCAAGATGCATTTCCACCTGCCGGCTACCTGTTAACTCAGTCTCTGAGTTAAAGAGCCATTGGCAGTAGGAGAGTTGCATGAGGTAGGTTCTCAGTGAGTCACCAGGTAGGGGTTAGTGGTGTTCACCAGGTTGATAGAGACTCACTCTTGGCACTGGTGCTGGGTCTGTGGCCACTCAGAAAAAGTCTCAGGGTACCAAGGCCAACCACTACCTGCCTGGGGCCTGCAGACTTTTGTGGTGGGACGGGGTCTCATGGAGTGTTCAGGGTAAGGCCAGTAGAATTCATTAGGCTGAAAGAGATTAAGACTTGGCTGTGTGGAGGAAGGGCTCTGCATAGGAACTATGGCACTGGTTAGGGTATGTGGGGGAAATGGACCTCTTCTAGAGCCTTCCAAGACAGCCAGCAGACTCCTCCACAGGACATGAGTTAGCAAGGTGGGACCACATGGAGTTGGCAGGGTGAAGCTAGTGCTTCCCCCAGGCTGGCGTGGTTTGGAAAGGAGTGTTCGACCCAGGAATGATGGCATCTGTGGGTGGCGTGGGAAAAGACTCAGCACAGGGACAATGGCAGCTCTCCCTCTAGCCTTCTCCTCGAATCCACACAGCCCAATCTCCCCATATGACTCTAGTCCTCCTTGAGCTGCTATCCCTTCACCAGAGCCCATGGTGAGTACCCACACACAAAATTTTGTGTGATAGCAATTTAAGAAGGTGCCTGGGTTTCCAGCAGCCTCCTGTCTCACCCTGGTGGATGAAATCTTTGCTGATTTTCACAGCCAGATGCTGTGTGGGCTTCTGGCCAGCACTGCTGCCCTGGCTCGGCATGGGGTTGCGACCCTCACTCCTCGGGGGAACCTGTGCAGCTGAGATATCCAGGTTCCCAGCTGCCGTACAGGTCAATTAGGAGAAATTCTGTTACTAGCCCTTTTATGGTGTCTGCCCTTCCTGCCAGTCTGAGTGTGGCTTCTTCTGTAAATCCTTGATTATAAGAGGTTCAGCTAGTCTTCAGTTGGTTCTTCAGGTTGGTTGTTCTATAATTGGTTGTAATTTTGATTTGTTCAAGGGAGAAGGTGAGTGTAACTTACACCTACTGTGCCATGTTGGATCTCCCCTTACCATCATCTTTTGTTTTTCTGTCACCACCATTTATCCCTCTATGCCCTCTTCCACCTCCACCCCCGCCACCCCACCCCACCACCGCCACACTGTTGTCCATGTTTAAGAGTTCTCTCTCTTTTTATTCTTTTTATTTTGTACTCAATCCCTCCACCTCCCCAATCACCATCATTCTTGGAAGATAGTTTTGCTGGTGCAGTTTTTTTTGTTTTTTTGTTTTGTTTTGTTTTGTGGTACGTGCCCCTAGCAGGAATCGAACCTGGGCCTCTCTGGTCCACAGGCCGACACTCATCCGCTGAGCCAAACAGGCCAGGGCTGCTGGTATAGTTTTTAGATGGCTTCTAGAATTCTGAAAATACTTCTTTATTTTCTGGCTTCATTCATTGCTCTGGAGAAGACTGATATAAATCAATTTTTTATTCATTCAGGTGTTCTGTCTTTTTATCCTTTTTACTTTTAAAATCTTCTTATTGTCTTTGACATTCTCTAGTTTCATTTCAGTATGTGTATTAAGGTGGATTTTCTTATAGTTATTCTGCTTGGTATTTCTTTTTGTCTTCTATCTATGGATTCATTTCTAATGTCAGTTAGGAGAAAATCTGTTACTAGATCTACAAATTATTGCTTCTCCTTCCTCTCTTTTGTTCTTCTGGAATTCCCACTGGCCTCTCTATTTCTCTTTTCTCTAATGTTTTCTAATCTCACCCCTGATGCAATCTCAGTAATTCATTCAAATTTATAGCCCAGTTCACATGCACACACTCCAGATACATATAGCCATTTGTTATACCTATTCAATATTTTTTTATTTTAATAAGTATAGCTTTCCTTTTTGAAAGTTTTATTTCATTCTTCTTCAAGTCTGCCAAATCATTTTGATTTTTTTTTGTTTGTTTTCATTTTATTTTTTTTTAAATTGATTTGAGAGAGAGAGAGAGAAAGGGAGAAGGAGAGAGAGTGGAACATCAGTGAGAGAGAACATCAGTTGGCCACCTCCTACATGCCCCCCACTGGGGATTGGGCCCACAATTGGGGCATGTGCCCTGACAGGGAATTGAACCAGCGACATCTTGGTGCATGGGTTGACACTCAACCACTGAGCCATACTGGCCAGGCTGCCAAATCATTTTGTATAGCTTTTTGTCTCCTATTTATATTTTTGTGATTTTACATTTTAAAATAATTATTTTGTATTTTATGTTTTAATTTTAATATCTCAAGTTCTTAGCAGGTCTATTATTATTTTTTCTGACTCTTACCCTGTAATGATTTGTTTCCTTTGTACTTGGTGATTTTTATTTGAGCAATGAAATTAAATTTATTGGTTAGTAACATTTTTAATGTTTCAAGTGTACGATTCTATAATATGTCATCTGTATACTGCACCGTGTGCTCACCACCCAAAGTGTAGTCTCCTTCTGTCATCATATATTTGACCCCCTGTTTCCTCTGTATCTTCCCCCACCCTCTTCCCCTCTGGTAAGCACTGTATTGCTGTCTGTGTCTATGAGTTTGTTTGTTTTGTCTGTTTGTTACTTACTTTCTGGTTTATATCCCTCATATGAGTGAAATTATATGGTTCTTGTCCTTTTCTGTCTTACTTATTTTACATAGATTCTCTTACAAACCAGGAGGGGCCTATGGACCTGGGAGACTTAATCAGGAAGTCTTGTCATTATCCATTTACCTGAATTATGAAGTACGAGGATTGGAAATTCAGTCATAAATAGGTTTTTATAACTACTGCCCTTTCAGCTTAAAAATTGGGGGGGATCTCATCATGTCACTGGATATCTCTTAGACCTTTGCTGCTAGACGGGACACTGGTTTGTATACTGCTGGGAAACACGCGTCGGAGAACGTGTACCTTCTCCGAGAAAACCCCTGATTGTTATTGTGAGCATCACGTTACACTGCAGCTTTCCTCAGAGTTCAGTGTCCGTACAAAATATAGTACCTGTTATGGAGACAAGGCAAGAGGATGCTCTTTCTGGGCAGCAGTAATGTTTGATTTGAAAGGATGGCCTTCTTTGTGTGCTTTTAACCCTCATGTCACTTAGGATTTAGTTTTATGCCGAAAGAGACTTCTGTCTCCTCTATTTTGTGGATAGTGATCAATCACCTGCGTATACAAATCCACAAAGCGCATGCTTGAATTCCGCTTCATTCATCCTGGTCTTTGTACGGAACCAAAACTGTTCCGTCAAAGAACAAATGTGGATGCTTTCTTGTAGATTTTGCCTCCTCGTGCAAGATGCCTACGGAATGTTCAGCGAAGTGCACCTAGAGGACGCCGTGTTCAAGGGCAGAGCGTTGGAAGGCAAGCCCTGCAGCCTGGCAGGGATGAAGGTTGTACAGAAGGCCACCACAGGAAGGTGAGGACGCTGGAATAGCATCGGTTTGCTGCAAAGATTGGTTCTTTTATTAGTCTTTTATTTCTACTTTTATTTTTAAAGACAATAAACTAGGATCTTAGAGTTTACCTAGAAAGTAGAGGCCAGGGGTTGAGTGGAGCCATAAAGTACCTCCCAGTGGGCGGGCAGGGGGTGCGGGGAGGATATTGACCACAAAAATAATTATGCAGGTTAGGCAGTTCATTTAATTAAAATCAGAAGACTTAGAAATGTTATACATGTGTATTTTAAGTGTGAAGACTTGTTTTCCTAGCTCTAACAGTAAGGCAGTTTCACATGAGTCTGCTCAGGTGAGATGCACCTTACAAGCTTTAAGCTAAACTCCTGAGTTGTCACGTATTTTTGTCCGTAGTGTCTGTCCAGTTTCCTGGCACCTCGCCCTAAGATGTTGCTTTGGATAGGCCGAGGTGGACTTCACATAAAGCTGGCCAAACTGGCTCTTACTGCTCCAATGATCATCTTCACCCGTGGTTTCGGAAAATAATAAATATTTTCAGTGGAACCATCCAGTCATATAGAAAATTTGTGTAAACCCTGAATTGGGGATTTTCTCAATCTTATTATAACCTCTCTTTTCTCAAATAGTGTGTTATTTTAACTCTTGATGTTAATGTTTTGTTTAATTATAGTAACATCTGAGCTTATAAGAGTATCTGAGGGAAGGAAAAAAACATCATGGGTATATGATATTGTGATTTTGAAGCAGTTATTGATAAACTTTGTCAGTGGTTTGTATGATGACCCTTCTAGCCATCATTGTAAATTGTGAGCACTCCCCGAGCTCACAACTGCCCCCTGTGGTCAGCTTGCCTGCAGGCCTCCGCTCTGCCTGCCTGCGGTTCATGAGGCCCTGTGCGGTGAGGGTGGCTGTGCCCAGAGCTTGGTTTTCTGAAAGATGTATACTTCATAGGCACATCCCCGGCAAGCTCCAGGTAGATATAAGAATATTGGATTGGTCCATGTAGATTTGTATTGTAACAAATGCTTTCTTTTGTTTACAAAAGGGTAGCTGTATTATATGAAAAATACAGCCAGCAAAGTTTTTTGCGAGGGAGGGGAACCTCTTTTGATTCAAAATCCTACTAGTATTTATGTTTCAAATTAGTAAACAAAACTAATCTCTGTGTCTAAAATATTATTAATGGATAGGTGTTATTTTATTGGGATCTCTGAACAGCCCTTGGAGAGTGATGTCTTGGAGAGGACTTGATTGCAGAGCCTAGTTGGCGCACACTGTGCACTGAGAGCTCACTGACTGCCGGGAGGAACAAGGAAGTGGCAGGTGCCATCTCTGGCCTTGAATTGCTTCCCTTAGAACAGGAGACTAGACAGACACACGTGTTAGAGCAATTAATGCTTTAAGTGACTAGATCTTAACTGGCTGATCTCAGATTTCATGAAAAGAGTGAGAACAAATGCTTTAAACATCTTGATCTGGCAGAAGGACAAATTTTCTTCAAATTGGTTAAGTGTCACCTGTGAAGACAGAAAAGTAGAATTAGGAATGATGTATGGAAAAGAGGAAGAAAGAGGGTTTATTTAAAAGACGGTTCAGTCATTTATTCTATAAATATTTAATACCTCCGTGTGCTGTGCCCTGGCTAGCTGCTGCAGCATTGATCTATGTGCTAGATTTTGGAGATTTATCCTAGACCAGAATATACCGAGGTATCAAGTCAGCTAAATAATAAAGCCGATAAAGCCTTAAGTCTTATTAGGGTCACTATGAGTTCCTGAGAGTAGAATAGAGGTAATAAAAATTAAGAGGACGTTAAGATTATCCTACTGTTGCAGCTATCATAGATTTGACATAAAGGGAGAGATTGGGGCAGGGCCACACGTTGGGAAACTTGTGCAGCAATTGAAGGAAGAAGAAGAAGAACCAGTTACCAGTTGATTTTGAATTTCTGGTTCCTACAGGCAGCTCTAGTAGGAGCTGTGGCAGATGGCAAGAGTATAAAATAGACTACTTCCTGCAAGAACTCATAGAACAAGCCCAGGAGAAGACCCAAAAAGGCACCAAGCGGCAAGTGCCTAATACAAAGTGCTGTGGGCTGAGACCACCTTTGAGGGAGGTTCAGAGGGTGGGTTAAGACTTAGGAACCTGGAGAGAACAAGAAAGTCCTGGGCTAAGGACCAGACAGAGGAAGGGCAGGAGGACAGCCCATCTCTGCATGCACTTGCCCATCTGGAAGAGGTGTGAAGATAAGGATAGCACTGCTGTCTGGCTAGTGTCAGTGACGAATAAGGGGCTGGGCACTTGGGAGGGGGTCAACTGATCCAGTAATTACTGATTAAATATCAGCTTTTGTTTTCAAGGTAACAGATGAAGGTACTGATAAATTTTATACTAGAAGCCAAGTTCAGTGAACACGTTCAAAAACTAACCCAGTGGTCAGGAACAACAAGTCCCTTAGAAGTCCTCCCAGTCCCCGGGCACGCACACTGCTGTTCTCCTGGGCCGTGTGTAAGCCCCGCCTTTCCCTCGCGCCCGTGTCTGGTGCTGCTTCCTCAAGACCCCTGGCACTTCTACAGGCACAGCCTCACTGCCTCCTTTGTCCCGCAGCAGCCACTGCTAGGTTGCCCCCTCCCTTCTCCCCCAGGGCACCCATGGCTCACAGTGCTGCCCACGCCAGTGCCCATGCGCAGGGCTGTGTGGGATTCCCACCAGACAGGAATAGATTAATGCAAATAAGGGTGACACCACAGGCTTAAGTTTGAATGTGTCCAATTTGCTTTGTAACTATGCAAACATCAGCACTTGTGGGAGGAGTCTCCGTGCTGGCTGTGCCAGGTGCCCAGCTGCCCCGCTCTGAGTCACACTGATTTATTGACACAAGACCTTGTTTCGATCACCGAGGCACCCCTTTGCTTGGTGTAGACAGTCAGTAAAGATCGGCGTCAATGAGAATGCCTAGTGGCCAGTATTTCTTCTGGACAGGAGCTGTTTCTTGCTCAACAGCCTATTTCTTGTATGTGTGTAGACTCTGCTCTCTCCCCCATCTTACAGAGGAGGGCCTGAAATAGAAGAGGGTGGCTGGCCCAGGGTCACACAGCTGGCCCAGCGTCAAGCTCCGGTGTGACTGTGGGCTGTGGGCTTCAGGGTGTTCCGTGTCCTGTGGAGACCCCACCTCACCTCCAGCGGAGTGGTCCAGAGTGCCCAGAAGGGCGGTAAAGGGAATCCCTAGGAACTGCTGGGCACAGGTCAGTGGGGCTGGGTCAGGGCCACCGTTTCAGATGCTCCTTTTACAGGAAGCAGTGCGAGCGCTCTCCTGGGCCAGAAACTTCAGTAGTGATTTCTTTCCTTGGATTTTTCTCTTTTCAAAAAGGCCACCCTTTCAAAGAGCCACACACTTCCCTTGGGGTTGGAGGTCCAGAATCTCTTTGCTGATTGCTCTGGTTGGAAACCCTCTTTTTTTTTTTTTAATTTTTTTTTTCTTTATTGATTTTAGAGAGAGAGGGAGGGAGAGAGAGAAGGATAGAAACATTGATGAGAGAACATCGATTGGCCGCCTCCTGCACCCCCCCCTCCCCCACTGGATATCAGGCCCACAACCTGGGCATGTGCCCTGACTGGGAATTGACCTCTTGGTGCGTGGGTCCACACTCAACCACTGAGCCATACCCGCTGGGCAGAAACCCTCTTTTAAAATTGGCATTCTTAAAAATCCCTTTACAATTTTGAATAATAAAATTGTTCCTGGCGGGCTCACCCCACTTTCTGTGAGGAGAATAAAATGTCACTGAAAGAGAATGTACTCACTCTTGAAACCAAGGACGTGCAGAGAAGAAAGGAGGCTCCCCCTAAAGAAGCACTGTTGACTCAAGCCCTCAGCCGCTTTAGTAAGTGTGCTCTGTTTTCCTGTGGTTTTATTGTTTTCTTTTGCCAGTGTTTCTTTCCATTAGTATTTTAATTCAAAATTAAATCTCTCTACTGCCCTTTCGTCCCGACCAGACAGGAGAGGGTCTGCCTGGGCTGTTGGTAGTATGTGAGTTCTCACTGGAGCGGGAAAGGCTCAGGTCAGCAGTCCCTCGAAGTTTGAGAGAGGCCTGCCTGTGGGGATGGGGGTGTGGGGGGGGGGCTCCCCAGAGGGAGTGCGGGTCCTTTGTCCTGAGGCTTTCGTCAGTCTTCTGCGGGCAGGAGGAGGGAGATCTTAGGGGAGGGTTTCAGCAGAATATTCATCTGTTTTCTAGGTGTGTCCTTCAGGGTCATGGTCTCCACTGACTGACTGGTCAGTGTCAGGGCAGGGGGTCCTTAATCATGGCAGCTGGTCCTGGTGTTGTCTACCTGGTTTAGCTGCTTTTCTGGGCCTGGAGCTGAGATACATCTGAGGCCTAGATGTTATCTCTAGGGAGGTGACTGTCCCCGCTGCGAACTGCTGTCAGTTTGTTCAGCTCTGTCTCAGTTTCCCTGTTTCACTTGTCCTGGCTCACTGGCCGGTCTCACTTTAGCAGTAGAGTTTTGGGATTTTGTTTTTGTTGTTGTTGTCTGTCTTGTTTTTTTGTTTTTTTGTTTTGTTTTGTTTTGTTTGCTCTCTTTAACAGTTGTACAGGGAAACAACAGTGAAACAGTACATGAAGTATAAATAAGCAACTCTTTTCAAGATTGTATCCCCTCTTCTGATAATTAATACTTGAACATCAACTTCTCTTGGTTTTTAATATTGTATATTAAAATGTATCAACTTTAATGTATCTTTTTCTTGGCATTACCTTTTACAGGATTTTGTTGTGTATCTGTACCGCCCATACCCCCTTATTTTGCTGCTGTGGTGTTCCCTAACTTTGCCGATGGTGGAAAGAGTCTTAACTTGAAGTCAGGAGACCTGGATTGTACTACTGGCTATGCTACCAATACCAGTCGATCTGGCCCCTGATTTGTTTGAAAATAAAAGGACTAAATAACTTTCGAGCCTCTTTGGGTTTGAGGCCATTCCTTTCCCTTCCAGGGTTGGGACAGT